TCTGAGATGTATCCAGTCTGCAGTCAGAGATCTTATTCTGAGTGTTCACAGCAGCCGTAGCCTCTCCAAGATCTTATCCGTGCTGACTCAATGGGCCCATTTTGAGAAACTCACGCCTCTCCCATCGCTTCAATCCCAGCGGGCAGCCTTGTGGGGGTTTGAACAGCTGGTTCCACTTTCTTAATTCTTCGATAAGTCAGGGCCAAGCCAGCTCCGATCAGCCAGAACCCTGTTACCATGGTTCAGAATAGGTAGATATCTTCAGCACTCAGGCTCACCCGAGCCCAAACTTCTCGTTGAGGAAGGGGTGTCAGTTGCATTTAGGGACCAGTTGATCAAATCCATAATTCCTCTTTATGTTTTAGAAACAGACTGTGAGAGAGTGTTCCAGGGAAAAGGAATACAAAAAACACGAGACTAGACAAGGACATAAGCAGGGAAGATGAGGGAGAGGAGAAAAAGTGCGTCCGCCTCCTCCGAGAGCCAAAGAAGAAAGTCAGCAGCAGATACGAACATTTCCACACACAGTTCATCCTGCTGTAATTTTACAGGTGGGCTTCATCCCCGATGTTAGCGACAGCTTACAGATATAAAACAGATAAAGAACAATTGCTCTACCGCTCCACTCTGACGCCCTTCACCTGTCCTTCCTCTTCACCTGGATCTCATCCCTCAGTTGTCTGTGCATATATAACTGTGACGTTTCCTTAAACGTGTTGATTGGGACTTTGGGTCGCTGGTCTGTTAAATAAACTGGTTTCCTGTTCCCTCCATGACACATTCTGTTTCACCAAGCCTTTATCCAGCACACATCAAACATGGCAGGTATGTTTCTGGGCACTCAGGGGTTTTCCTGCTTTAGGTTTTAAGTTTGCATCTGTTAGCAGTGCCTGCTCCACTCAGTGTGCGGGGAAGGGCTCTTTGTGACGACCTCCACTGACTTCTTACGCCCACAACCCCCACACTGACCCAAACTCTGACTTTAACCCTAAAACTGAGGCTTAACAGCCAGAATCTGTCCTGATACTCACCCTCTGTGACTGCAGCATCTGATGCATTTAAGGAACGTGTGTAAATTACAGCTACAAGTACACTAGTACTGTCAAATGGACTAAAACATGCAGGAGATTAGAAAGATATCTCTTTTCCTGGGTAACTACAGGGTGCAGCTAAATGACACACAAAGCTGGAATCTGAAGAATTTCTAGCATCACAGATCAGCGTCTCCAATCTGAGCGGGATGATGTTTCGTGTGATAAATCCAGCAGTGCTAAAGAACAGAGGCAGCGAGGTCTCTGCACACGTTTAAAGAAACAGGACGACCCAGCCACAGCGTGTTTCCTCACAAGCACCGGGGTTTTATTCCACCCTCTCTGTACAGACTCATTGTGTCAACACTGGATCTCTGCTGTTACTCATACGCGCCTCACCCCGTCACTAACAGGACGAGGATCTGTCAGCCAATCACAATCTGGACTGATAAGGTGCTCGATTTGATTTGAAATGTCCAATGTTCATATTGCAGTTGTTATGAAGCATTAATCATTTACTCCTGAGTGAGAGATCAGTCGTTACTCTTTAGTGGACAAAAATAAACCCATAAACTGACACAAGCTTCGATTTCTGCACCAAATCTTTTGATTTACGCTCTTCAGTAACAATATTAAGTTTCACACTGGGACAAATCATCCTGGATTTTATTTGTTCGCTACACAAAAATATTAACATCAGAAGTTTCCTCCGAGCTCGAAACTGATTAAGATTGGGCAGGATCACAAAAATAAGGGCAGTAATCTTTAAATTCTAATGAAACATAATGAGGTTCCTGCAGTGTGCGGGGCTGGGTTTGACCTGTTTGGCTTTGCTTTGCCTCGGCCGAAGCAGAAAGTGTTAAACAGCTGAATGAGATCAGACCGAGCGGCCCTCTGAGGGCTCAGCTGCTGTTGTGAAAGAGGGCGGCGGCTGCAGAAGTCTGCCTGATCCCAAACCAGAAAAACTATTTCTCCTGCTTTAACAGGCGAATTAAAGAGAAAAGATGACTGAACACGAGCCGAGACTCAGAACGTGTCAACCAGCTTTTATGTGTTTTTACTCAGAGGGTCCAAACTGCTTCAGCTCAGTCCAGAGATCCTCTGAAAACCCACTTCATGCGATTGTCCAGCCTCCTTCACCCAGTTCATGTGAGCTGCTTGTGCATGGTGGGTGTAGCTGAAGCAGACGAGCACTTAAAGGGTCTGCTGTCGGCTCCACCTGTATTTTTGCATTCTCAGTCAGTTTAACCTGAGCTCAAATCTGCATCAGCGTTTGGTCCAAAGTAGAAGCTGAATGCAACACTGCCTCCCAGAGGCCAAATGCACCAACTACAGCTTCATTCAGGCGGATTTACAGCTTGTAATGGATTTCCTTCCATCCATTTTATTTTGCAGGAACTGCTGTATACTGTGTGCAGAAAAACAGTAGACATAAAACTAACTGTACAAATGATATCAGCTTGAAAACGAATAACGCCAACGCAGTGTGGGAAAGCCCCACTCTTAGGGCATAACGCCACTGCAGACGGGGCGTGGATGAGCAAAGTCAAATCCAGGCCAAAGCCCGGCTGCAGCACCAGAGGTCAGAGCAAAAGTACCAAAGCTCTGCTGGCTCCAAAGAAGAGTCAGTCAAGGTTAAACTTTAGAGCTGAAACAAAACAGTTTTAGTCTCTGTAGCTGATTTCCTCCTTCATCACAGATGAATAAAAAGAAATAAGAACTTATTTATTGGGTGAATTGACTTGTTGAGGCTCTAAGTTAGGGGCGTGGCTTCTTTGGCTGACAGGAGTCCACACAGCCGTCTGTTCGGCTTCACTGGACCTGTGGGCCGTGTTTTGGAGCATCTCTAATGTGGTTATCTGACCAACAACATGGCTGCTGTGTGGTTAGGTGTAACAACAGACTGAAGTCTGAGCTCCATTCTGATGAATGAAATTTCAGCAGCCAGTCAGCACGTACCTGTGCTCATGTTTTGCACCTGTACAGTTTATGAAAGCAGCTGCTGAACCAAGCTCGCTACATTTAGCTGATAACTCAGCGCTCTATGGTCAGGTCTGTCCCCAGAACCCCAAAGGCAAACATCATGTACTCAACAGGAAGAGCCAAAAGCCCAATGCCATCTTTTATGTACAGTCTGTTTAAAACTAAACCAAATGGGGAAGGTTTGCTGATACCATCAACCCACATTTATTTTATTCAAATTGAGCCAGGAAAGAAAAGTTTGACTAGAATTTCAGAGCTTCGGCTTCCAGTAACTGCTGTCCTTTATCTGCATGCAGCAGCTGCTTTCATTTTCAGGTCGCCGGCCTCATTATTTCACGTTTCACTGCGCTGCTTTCATTAAAGCGCCTTTAAGCTTATTTATAGAAAATAATCAGTCACACTGATGGAACATTAATTAGCCTTTAAGGTATTATAGTTCTAACCTGGGCTATTCTCATAAATATTACTTTTACTGTATTACTTTCAGAGAAATAAACTCTACGGAGACGCAAACACCGGACAGAGGAGAGAATCTGCACCTCTCGCACCTGGAAGTAAATCAGTGTTCCCGTTTGATTCGACCCGTTTCCTTCATCTCTGTCTCACACATCCTCATAAACTTGATCATTTCTCTCTCCAGCAGCTTCATCGCGCAGCTCTGGGCGCCCGATCACACCCAGCAGTCCTGCGCTCCGCCCGCCGAGCCCGTCTCAGCCGATCGCTCTGATCGACCAGCCGGGGAGTTCGATTATCTTACCTGAGTCTCCATCTCAGAAGTTCGGTCCCAAAAAACGAGTAAAAAACAACAAGAACAACTAATAACTGAAAAACCACCGAAACCGAGGAGCACCGAGCGGAGAGTGCCGGAGGATTTACACGTTTCCTGCTGAGAGTCACACAAAGTCCTCCCACTCACCACACACACAGTGATACACGCGCGAATACACACCCACTGAACACACACACGGACGTGTGAGCCTCCGCTGCTTTCAGACCCTCTAAACTTTGTGTAACCTCTTTGTTTGTCAGCGCTGAGCTCTTATCAGCCCCACCCACACGCGCGCGCACACACACAGAGGGACGTGACCAGTCCAAACTGACAACTAACAGCAGCGTAAGATGAGCTTTCTGGAACAGCCTGTTCAGGTTTGTTCTCAAATTCTTATAATTGTTAATCAGTGGAGACGCGTCACAGGGAACTGGACCACACCAGCCGGGTGTGTCTTCGAGGGCCTGAATAAGTCATTCTTACGTTTAGAGTAAAAGCAGATCTCTGGCGGTGTTTCTGTTGGGACAGGAGAGACAAACAAGCGGCTCGGGGTCCAGATCCAGCCCGCCAAAGCGTCCGGTCCGCCCCTGGACGTTTTGCAAAGTGTGGAAGTTGCAGTGACGTCAGCGACGTTGTTTGTGTGCATAAATTGGCCAAATGACTGTGAATGCTACACGTGAGACAAGATGCTGATTGGACCAGCCAAACATAACTTTTATGCGTTTCCACTGTGACGTGTTTGTGAGATTCCACTCATGAGATTTCTCAGCTGTTTTTACAAAGATGACACATTAAATGATCAAAACTATTTGACAAAATACTTTCGGTTACCTGTGCTCAGGTGAACATCTTCAGATTGTTTAGCTACAGATAAGAGAACATGGAGGGTGGGTCTTATTTCCAGTTTTAAACGTGGTCCGTGAACTCGACTGAATCCTGTTAGAGGTGACAAATTAAAGGAAAAACTAACAAAGTTTGTTAATGTCACATATGGACCGCCTTAACACCGATTCTCCAAGTCTCTGAGAGTGGGTGGATGAACACCTTTCTTCCAAAAGATAAGGTGGAGTGCAGTTTTACACGCTGGCGGTCGTGGCGTCTACTGACATCCTGGAAAAGACCCAGATTCCCAGATGCTTTTAGCAAAAGTGCTTTATAAATAAACTTTATTCTGATCACTTTTGGATAAAACCAATAATTAACTTTATTTATTGGAAAGAACACAGCGAGCACAGTCCTGCTGTAAAAGATGATCTGAAGAAAAAAAGTCTCTGCTGTCTGAAACCATAAATCAAAAAAGGAAGACGCGTAATGATCGTGGCAGCAAGCAGGAAGCAGTCAGTAAGTGTGGTCAGGCCTCGACAGGTGAGGCTGGCAGTTACTTCCTCCTGCAGAGCAAAACTTTCAATGAAACAAAGAACATTCAGTCTGTAGATTTCAGAGCGACTTATTACTCCGTGTGCTCAGCACGCCTCACGCTACACGCAAACACACAACAATCATGTTATCTGATGCTTTGGCAGTATGTGTTTTTACTTTCACACCAATCAAAGCTTTTCATTAGAAACGGTCTTTTCACTTCTGTCGGTTCCTGTTGTTCCTTTGTGTCGTTTTAAGTCTGTGTGGTTCGTTTGGTCTCTTTTAGCTCTTTATTCTCAGGTTTTGTTTCTCCGCTGTCACTGAAACACTTTCACGTTCTGTGCTTTACCGTGGACGGATCAGAGGATCAGTGCAGCGTTGAGACTAACGTGGACCATTTTGGGTAAAACAGAGGAACCAGAAGACAGTCAGTCTACATTCTTACCATCACCTACGGCCGTCGGGTCGACAGGTGAGCTCGAAGGATCAAGCAGCAGATAATCATTCATCTGTAAGGTGACTGAGCTCAACAAGGCGAGGAGCTGCTTGGTGGTGTCAGCTGATGTCAGGCAATCTCACCTTGGAGGTTTTCAGCGTTTGTCCTACTGCAGGGATGTCGAACTCATTTTACACAGTGGGCCAAATATTTGGATCTTAACTGACCCGGATCGGTGAAATTCTGTCAGTTTGAAGAAATTAAACTAAACCCTCAGATTTCTTATTATAAGAAAAATAAATATACTCCAACAGTGTGGCTCAGTTCAGTTTGCATGATAAAGAAATCACGACACCTTAAACTGTAAGAAATAAACATGTAAAATTACAGAACAAGCTCAGGTAAATCTTTGCTCAGACTGTCTTGTACTAATAAACAAAATAGATAATTATATAAAATTATAAGAAAAAGGTTTTTCTAATTCACAGAATTTTAAAATGTGGCTTTACAGCAAAAACAAAAACACAAGAAAGTTGTAAAACTTTTAAAAAATACAAGTAAGTCCAAAATTTATCGCCTGCTCCACATTTTCCAAACCCAACAGGAGTCTTTGCCAGGCCCATTCTGGCCCTCGGGCCTTATGTTTGACACACCTGCCCTACTGGGATGAGCCCTTTAGATCTCGGACGTTCTCCTGTGTCCCGCCTTTTTGTGGCGGTCTCAAAAGCACAAACCCGAGGCTTCAGGATGTGGGTCCACGAACCGCTACCGTCTGTTTTCTCTATGATCCGTTTATCTGGAGCACATCTGGATTCTCCGCCTCACTGAGACGAGACTCGGACTTCAGAATTTAGCCCGTATTTTTGTCTCTCTGTGGAAAAAGTCGATAAGTGGAGCTAAAGTTTTGTTATCAGGTATTTCATGTGTAAATTTGCTTTATTAGCTTTAATCACAAAGTGGAACATCTGGCTGAGCTTCATGGTCCGGGAGACGGAGCCCAGAGAGAACCCGATGGTTGTGGAAGGTCCTGGAGGTTTTGAGCACGGTCGGGTCGGTGAATGACGACTGAGACGAGGGACTCGTGCTCTGAGAGAGCAGAGTTAAAGGAGTGGTCGCTGTCGGACTCGCCTGACCCGGGTTGGTCCTGGTACATCAGGTCTGCTTCACTGGCCAGAGGGGGAAACAGATGTTCAAGACTTTTAACCTCCGAGCAGGTCACATTTAAAAATATCTACATGTGGACATGCGATCCTTTACGTTTACCATCAGCTTCTATCAATGCCTCCTTCAGACGTGTCCTACCTGAGTTCAGAGTCCAGGTAAACACTGTCATCACTGCTGGGGCGCTCTCCTCGTTCTGCTTCCCTTCCTGAGCGGCCACTCGGACTTTGCTGCCTCGCTGTGGGGATCCTCCTCTTTATCTGCGCGTTTGTCTGGCGGGTCGACGACAAACTGGGCCGCTCATCATCAGTGGAGTCTCTGAGAGAACCAGACAGAGAGCATAGACCAGTGGGTCCCACTGTGGGGCAAGCCACTCTTGGGGGACACAGAGCTGCAAGATGGAGGGGAACCTTTACCCCAGATTCTGAATCCGGGGCAGGGAAGAACATGTTTGACTGATTTAGAGGAAGCACTTCTGTGCTGAAACATCTGGATCGCTCATCTGCTCCTTCACTAAATTTAATTTGGAAAATAATGTTAAGAAGCAAATATTTGTTGATGGGCCCCGAGCACAAGTGCAAAGAATTTAAATCTTTAACATGACTCTTGACAAGGAAAGTAAGGAGAACCGGTGCCGTTCTCAGCTGCTCCAACAGCTTTGGGAAACATTTATCACTGAAAGAAGTTCAGAAACGCTGAAGAGTAACAGATCATAGCTGCGCGCTAGGTTTCTGTTAACAGCGATCAGTCTACGGGGAGGCGTGTGCAGCAGAGACTGACAAATGTAGCTAATACAAAAACCGCAATTCCTCTGATGGCCACTTGAGGCAGGCTGCAGCGGTAAGTCAGCCTGTGTGGGGGCGTGGCCTCAGCTGTCGCTGCCAGCTGTTTGTTTTTAAACAGTGACAGCAGGCATCTCCATGGAAACCGTTGTAATTCTGCCTCGTTACAGTTGTTTGGACCCTTCGTCACCCTGCGTCTCTGTGACGTCCTGTCACTGGATAACGTCAGAACTCAAATCCAGTGCCGCTTCTCTGCTTTATAAATCACTTAAAACAGAGTCAATGAGACACATGGCGACACCGCTCTGGCTCAATTTTACAGCCCTTCTCTGGCGTTCACTCACAGCTCCTCCTCGCTGTCTTCCTGGAAGGTCAGAGGTCGTACGCAGATGACACACGTGCTCCCCAAACTCTGGAAGCACGGCCGACAGTACACGCCTGCAAAGAGACGGCAGCTTGTAAAAAGAGCATTCATCCTCATTCATGACACAAACTCTGCTCGTTTTAAATCGCTCACTACGAACTTATGAGGAAATGAAAGGACCAGTGAAACAGTGACCCAGGCTATCACTGGGTGCAGTCTGATATAAAGTTCTCCTGCTGGGTGGATTCAGTGTCACAGATAACAGGTGTTTTTTTATTAACCAGCTCAATGTAATCCTCTCTGCAGCCTTTTAAAAGGATCTCTTGGCTCTGTGAAACCTAAACAGAAGCTAAAGAGTTAAATCTGCTACAGTTACAGTTATCTCTCACTTCAGCTGAGTCAACAACACTGAGTGCTGCAGGACACTCCCTCAGCGTGCGCGCACACACACACACACACACACACACACACACACACACACACACACACTCTGCAGGTATTTGTCCTGGTGTGAGAAATGATTCAGTCTTTCGCTGTTTTTTGATGTAAAGCGTTACCTCACTGTTTAAAGGGAAAGACACACCTCAGAGACTAAATCACATCACATTCATCATCAGGGCTGAACATTGATGCTATGTCCAGCAAACAGACTTTTCAGGGTTGATGCAGATATCCGGCACGTGGCTCCCTGTGCTTACTTTCTGTTGCAAATGTGCAGAAAATCTGCAAAGAATCTGGACAGGAAGAGGCGCCACGTGGAGAGGTTAAAGGTCAATCCACCCAATAAAAACTAAAAACCTCAGGACGGTTTTACCAGGGAGCGCCCTCGGTGGGTTTACCTGAACAGTGCGGGGCATCACAGATGACTGCGCTCAGGTCAGGCAGGCGCAGCACCTCTCCACAGACCAGACAGCAGGCAGGTGTCGACAAGCCCAGCAGGTGAGACAGGCGACCTCCTCCAGGTAACCTGACAGTAATGCAAACAGATCGCATCCTGACCTTCTGAAGGTTCTGGTCCCTTAGTTTCAATGAATAATACCAACCCTGTTATTAATGTAACCACACACAATGTTTCAACATTAAACAGGCTGAAGTCGATCTACTCTGCTCATCCCTGTCAGACCTGTTGCATCGCATTAACCACAAGCTGTGACAGTGAAGCAGCATAAAGGATCATCACATCAGGCCACGATCTAAAGACACAAAGTCAGTGACATCAGGGACTCCAGCGAACCACGGTGGGAGCCGTTATCCACACATGGAGAAAGCCTGGAACAGTCCTGGAAGCTTCCCAGGAGCGACCGGCTGACCAAAATTCATCCAGGAGGACCTGCAGGCCTCAGTTAAGGTCAGAGGTCACGATTCAACAAAATGAGAGTGAGCAAAAAATGGCCTCCGTGGGAGAGTCCAATGAAAACCACTGCAGACCGAAAAGATCGTCTCACATCTGCCAACAAACATCTGGAAGATCCCAGTAACGTCTGGGAAATATTCTGTGGACTGACGAGGCAGAAGCTGAACTTTGTGGAAGGTTTGAGTCCCGTTACGTCTGCGTCAACCTGCACGCAGAACATCAACTTGCCACCACTACAGTCGGACTCGGTGGTGTGATGGTCCGGGCTGCTCTGAGGGAACCACGAGTGAGCGAGGATGTCGGCCCATCAGGACGCAAACACAGCAGCGAGTGTCTTTCCCTTAACGAATGAAATCATCATTTGAAAAAAAAAAAAACTGAATCAGACTGAATTTGTGTTCAACAGTTTCTGAGGGAAATACAAATGTTTTTCACTCCTACAGCACCTAAAGCGTGCACGTGTTTGTGGGACACGACTTTAGGTCAGTCTTTGTACCGTATCAGCAGAGCATGGAGACGTCCTCCTCCTCCTCCCGGGTCGGTTGTGCTCCTGCCCACAGACCTCCTCAGGGCTCTGCGCACCCCCCTCCTCTGATCCAGGATCTGCTGGCGGAGGAACCGGATCCTCTCCTGTCGAGCGCAACGACAACAGCCCAGCTCGTCACAATCATGTCTCACTTTTCCCTCGCACATCCAGAATGTCACGCTCTGTGATCAACATCCACCACAGCAGCAACACAACCTCCCGCTCTCTGTGCAAAATCAGAAACATTGGCAGAGTTTCAGCGTTTGTCACGGAGAGTTAAAACATGCCGCTCGGCGGGAGGGTGAGGGCAGGTCCGCTCTGTCAGGCGATGCAGAGATAAACGGACATGTTGCAACGACACACTGACGGCCGACAGATGAACGTGCTGCTTCTTACGCTTTGTGAGGGAACATTTCAACATAAGCAGCACAATGAAGCTGGAATCATCAGAAAATTCCACGTTAAAGAAATTAAGCTAGTTTCACACTCCAGTGACCTGCTGGTGTCCCGCTCAGATTCCCACTGAGTCCGTTTGCTTCTCCTGCAGCTCGTCGTGGGTTTGTTTTAACATGCAGTGAACCGCGGCTAACACACTGATTAAGGAAACAGCATCAGTGAGACGAACACGGAGTAACCGACTAACCATCCTTATATAAAACATCACGGGGCCGTAAATGAACCCACGCTGTCATGTTACTGAGGACTCACATCTAATCTGTCGAGGCTCCGACTCCACACTAACAGAAAAATCAACAGGCCAAACTCAGCCCAGCAGCATCCCAGCAGCTCTCCCAGTCATCTAAACGGAGCCCATGAGGCTGCGCTGGGCTCAGATTTGGCGTGACACTAAATCTGACCCGGCGTCCTCCAGCCAATCGCATCTCCGGCACGCACTCCTGGCAGTCAGAAAAGCAACCACGCCCAGAACACGCGGCTGATTATATTTCACTACAAACAGAAGAAGAGGAGGAATCCAGAAAGCAACATTGGTGTGATTTATTGCGTGAAAGTTGCATCCAGCCTGCAGAGCGAACGACACGTGCAGCAGACACACACTAACGTGCAGACAGAGGAAAAGCAAACACCAAACTGAACTCTTTGTGAAATCAGAGTTGAAAGCGGCCGACGGCAGTGGGTCATTTCCCAGAAATTTCACAACCACCACGACCAAAGCACAGAAAACAGATGTGTTAACAGACACACTAGTCGCCGTTTGCCACAGCAGTTTGTGATCAACATTAGACACACAGCCCCCGCCTCAGAGCCGTCGACCAGCCGGGCGGCACAGGATGTTCTGGTTCCTGTAACCCGAACAATCAGGGTCGCGCAGAAAGGCGTTGCCAAAATACATGAGGTTGAAGCGGCGAGCACCTCCACACCGTTAAACCTGCGCCAGCTGTCGAGCAGCGCGCACGACCTCAGAGTGAGTGCAGGCTGCAGCTGGGTCATCGCCCGGATTTCTAACATGCGGTGAACGTGGATCTATTTGAATCCTGACAATAATCCTTTCCTAAACCGCAGGCTGCATTTACAAAAGATGGCACCGCCACCATGAAGCCAGCCGCTCGGTCTCATGCCCAGCGGCATGCTGGGAAATGTTTCTAACCTTCATTGTGAAAGTGTTTTGGCAAAAGTCAAACGTTGGTGTTATTTGGTGGTTGTTTATTGATTTATTGATTTCCTTTTGTGGGGAATCGTCTAAGACTGGGAAAGCTTTGGCCTTTAAACTGGAGATCGGATCTATGTGACGGAGTTGCCGGGCTGGTTTGTGGCAGCAGCGTGTTTTCCTGACTTTCGGCCTCGCCCGGGCTCGGGTCTCTGCGAGCAGTCCGGACCTGCCTCCTCCTTCCTCCTCTCACTCTTTCATTCTGCAGATTCTTCAGATGCCTCTCTGCTCCGTGACCTTTCACCCACAGCAGCAGCTGTTCTTCCTCTTCGCTCGTCTCACCAAAACAGCACACCTTCACTCGGAGAGGAGGAGTGGGCGGGGCATGCAGGTGAAATAAAAAAACCTGCCCTGGGGCACAGCTCTCCTGATCCTCGTGTTGTCAGAGGATCGGTTTACATCATCTCTGCGAGGCTGGCCGGCGTCCAAAATCCACGAAGAGAATATGAGCCCAGGTTTGAAAAAATGCGAGCCACCCAGGAGCGGCTGCGTGCGCTGCCAGACAGCTTTGTTAGAGGGTTCAGAGCTGGTTTAAATCAGAGTTCTCCTTGTAAATCCACACCACTGCAGTGGATTTAAAACTCACACAGTGTCGACGGACGGGCAGGAGGCATGACTCAGGTGCAGACTTCCAGCTTCAGTTCAACTGGTTTAAACAAAAACGCAGCAATAACCTGCGACAAGGTTTCCACCCACCCACAAATTTTCTCCCATTTCTCCATTTCGGGGACGCCTCTCGCCCTGTGACAGCTGGAGCCCGTCCCCGCTGTCACAGGGCGAGAGGCGTCGTCCGAATCATGTGACTCTAAGTGTGTGAGTACCTGCTCTCTCTCAGGGTGATATGAAGCACAGATGAGGCGTCTGCAGCGCTGCATGAATCCGCTGGTCAGAGACACAAGCAGAGCCAAACCCAACAGGAAGCCTGCAACACAGACCACAACCAGTAAAACCAGTAAAGTCCCTTTGTCTCAATGTGGTTAAAAAAGAAAGGTGAAAATGTGTGTGGCTGAAACACCGACCCCGTCTTCACGGTGTGACGGCAATAACACACATACAACACAGATATCGGACGGACAGCTGATTTGATTATGAAAAGGTTGCAATCAGACAAACATCACATTTGTCTGCATGTAAATCTCTGATGTCAGGTGAACATATTTGTGTTGGTTTGCCTCTGCACACTGGGCTCTGTGCTGGGTGGGTGCTCTGTTAGAGGCGGCCGGGGCTCAGGCCTTTGCCATTTGTTTTTCTGGTGGGTTCTGATTAGGGCTGCCACGATTAGTCGACTATCAAAATCGTCGACGACTGATTTAATAGTCGACGCGTCGTTTGAAGCTTTGTAAGATCACAAAAGACGCAGGAATAAGTAGCAGGATTTAAGAGTGTAATAACGGACTGAAACAGAAGATGGCAGCACTGCATGTACAAGGATGCCAGCTGCCGTTAAACTCCGACGAAGAAGCAGCTCTGTCCCAGAATTCATAGCAGCCCAGCTCAGTTGCCAACAATGGCGGCAGCTAGTTAGTTTTAATATTACTCTTATTATTCTTTCTGGGTCACAAAATAAACGTTTAACATATTTTCATGGAGAATGTAGCTGTGTAAACCTCAAATATCTGCTCAGTTTATCAGGACACCGCATATTTTCAAAAGCGCTCCGACGTTTTCGGAGATGTCTGTTACCCACTAGCTCGATAGCGAGCCGGGGGCTAGGCTAACTAGAGCCGTGAGAACACCGGACTCCCGGCAGATCGTTTTCAGACCCACCGCTGTCTTTCACTACTCAGGTTAAACATGATATATGAGTCACTTAGATAACTTAAAAATGTTATTGTTTGGCTTTTTTCAGTATTTTATTTGTTCCTGAGTAAATCGGTTTGGCTGAGATTAAAGTTTTTACACAGCTGAATAAACGTCAAGCAGACAGCTGATTATCAGAAGTGTGAGATGCTCCAGAATATACTCCGGTGTCCTGTTAGATTTTAGATAGCAAGGAGTTTATTAAACTTCACCGAAACAATCTGCAAATTTCATTAGAGTTTAATAAACTATCATCTTGTCTTTATTTTTAGTTAGCACAGACCTTAAACACTTAAAGCTGAAAGCTAATGATAGTTATATAAGAGCAGATGCTGCTGGTGCAATAAGCTGTAGTTTTACGTCCAGTGGATGATGATCTGATTAGTCGACTATCAAAATAATGGTTTGTGGCAGCCCTAGTTCTTATTGATCTCAGTATCTAATTATTTCATTGTAAGGTTTGAAGCTCATGCTGTGGTCTGAATAGTTGAGTAAGTGGAGCGTGTAAAGTGATGAAGGATGCTACGACTCCATGTTGTCACGTCATATGAGTGTTAGAAATCTGACTGTCTGCTCTTTCAGTTTTAATGAAACTCAAATATTCCAAAAGCTCTGGACGGATCAGTGACTGATGAGTCATTGCTAAGCTCAAAACAACACAACCTCTTCCTCTGCTCGTCTTTGTTGTGATGTTTGCAGGTCAAAGCTGGATTAAAGCTCCTGAGCTCAGGACGTGTTTGTGTCAGAGACGCTCTGTCGTCACAGCTTCTCTCAACAGTCACTCAAAATGTTGCTTCCAGTCATCTGCGTGTTCAGACAAAACAACGCAGTCGCTCTGACACTCGGATTCCACATTCCTGGGTAGTTTTTTTTTTTTTTTAAAATCCTCTTCCTCTGCTGCTACTGGCCCGTTTCCAGTACAGGAAGCTTCTATGAACTCAGGAATCTGGCTTTTATTTTATTACGACTTTGCTTCCAGCAACAAAATGAAACCACTGATGCCTGAGATGAATAACACCGATTATCTCGTTACAATCAGCCTCCTGGTGTGTCCTTGTGTGGGATTTTTAACACAGCAGGTGAGCAGTCAGCTGTTCGAGGTGATGCCCTGGAGGCAGGTAAAAGGCCAGTGAGTGATTAGGGCAGGGGTCACGTTGCACACAGTGATCCAAGGAAGGATGACAGGTGAAGCAGCCAGTATGCTCAGAGCCCACACAAGGGTTACTGCAGCACAAAGGAGCCAGATCACTCCACCTCCACCTACAATGAGCACAGAGCCAGGCCAAGGTGGTGTCCCGGTCTGATGAATTACTTTTCCTTTTCCATTGTTTACCTGGAGAGGAGATGGAAGCAGGATGTACTACAGGAAGTGTGTGTGTGTGTCTGCGGGGAAAGTATAGGTCCTTAGATTGAGACCACATTCATCTTCCCTTCATGGCAGCGTCCTCTTTTGTTCAGGGATCATTTGGGTAGATTGTGAATCCGTTAACAGCTAAAACTAGGAAGATTATTCAAAAAGCTGCAGATGCATAAACTGGATCTTGTAATCAGTGCAGACCTATCGATCTATTAGTACAAAATCATGTTATTCATTAGATGACTGCATTAAAACTGCGTCCAAAGGCTCCACAGCACAGACACTGCAGAGGTTACAAGAGCTGAAACTGAGCAGACAGCTGGCAGCTACAGCCACCTGCGTCACTGCAGCCACGCACTGATTTATTCTAAGCTTTACGTGGTTTGTCCTCCTTTAAAGTTCAATGAGGCCAATTGTGATTCGCTTCCTGTGTGATGTCATACCGAGGATGAAACACGTGTTGTAGTTTGGTTCTGACGGCTCCAGCAGGCACTTCTTGCTGATCACGGTGATGTTTCCCCACTGCAGGATGTTGAACGAGGCCACCACGTCTCTGTAGATGTCTGAGGCGTAACCCGACCCGTTCACCTGGACCGCCACCGTGACCGGAACTATCGGGACAGAGCGTCACGCTGGTCACCGCTCACAGTGAAAACGCAGGGCTGTTTTTGGCAGGTGTGCTGGCTCACCTCTGGCCACGATGTCCTCCGTCACCTGGTGGTGCACCTGATCCAGAATCCAGAACACCAGGAAGTCCAGCGCCACCAGCAGGCTGCCTATGATCAGGTGCCTGAAGACCGAAACCAAGCCCGCCATCACCGCCCGCCGCTCTCTGTACGTCAGCTGAAATGACACTGCAGGACAGACGCGTCAGATCGCTTTGATGAACATCGCTGATCCACAAACCATGACCTCGTCCAGCACCTGCTGTGTACCTGTCACACAAGCTAACAAACAAACCCACACACACGTATGTACTCACGTGGTGTGATGTAGGTCTTGGCCTCTCTGCGCGTGATTGGAAACACAGAGGCTCCGCCTACTGAGGTCACCCTTTGGTCAAGGTCTTTAAACTGAGCAGTGATGTAGTTGTTATCAAATTTAATATTGTGGAGGTACCTGTGTCTGTACTGCACTGCCCTGCAGACACACAACCACATCAACACCCATCAGCAACAATCAGCATCGAGGTTAATGCAAAGCAACGCTCGTGGAAATAAAGTGAAGTGTAAAGAGTGAGACGAGGGGAAAAAGTCAAATAAGGAGGCTCGTGGAGTAAAAATGCCACAAAGAGCTGAACATGATAAAGTGGATCGATGAAGCAAAATACCTCAAAAAGCGAAATGAAACTGAATAAAAAAGGAAACGAGCAGAGCGATGTGAGAAGACGATGCAGAGCTGAAAAACTGCAGCGATGAGATTACAGATGAGTCTCTGCTGCACAGATGTTGCTGCGTGAGCTATGAAAGACTTCCTGAATCGTCCTCGTGTAGCTGAAGTAAACTGAAGCATGTGGTTTGCATTTGGCTAAAGTGACCTAAAGCATGCAGAGTATGTGCAGATGTCATGAACTAAAGAGCGCAAATGAACCAAACTGAATCAGGCAGCTCAAGTAAGCTGACGCCTGTGGATCAGGGAGACCGAGCGGCGCATGTGGAGCGAAAACAGAGAAATAATAAAACATTTTCCTGCTTATTTTATTTTTTGCATTTTTCACACTTGCAGATCATCAAACAGATTTTAATGTGATCAATAATGATTTGGTTTACAGGGAGGAAGCTCTCCAAACCCACCTGTGTGAAGAAGTAACTCCACCCTAAACCTAACACCTGGTTGTGCGACCATAACTGACGCTGAGCAATGAGTGCTTCACGTCGCTGTGGAGGAAGCGTGCCACGCTCTTCTTTGCAGAATTATTTGAATTCAGTCACATTAGAGGGTTTTCCAGCAGGAACAGCCTCTTCAAAGCATTTTAGGCGCCACACGATGCCGTGTTCCTGATCACCGCCCTGATGGTGGAAGGTTCTCCTTCATCCTGGTCGAGAGCAGAATCCATGGTTCCACCAGTTACAGCGACCCTGACCTCACCTGATGCGAGTGAGGCCTGCAGTTCTTTAGATGTTGTTCTGGGTTCTTCTGTGACCTCCCAGATGAGCCACTGATGCGTTCGCAAAGTAATTTTGGTCGACCAAAGTTTTACAGGCTTAGAAACGGATCTGCAACCCTCTCCAGACTGATGGATGTCAGCGACTTTGTGTCTCAGCTCTTTCTTTCAATCGAGGAATGATTTGCTGCTGTTTGGGATCTTTTGGCGTGCTTCGCTCTGTCAGACGCGCTTTGTCTAAGTCAGGGGTGTCCAACTCCAGTCTACTGTCTGCAGCTTTTAGATGCATCCCTGCTCCAACACAGCTGAATCAAATTGCTTGGATCATCTCTTCAGCACGCCATCAAGTTCAGCAAAGGCCTGATAACAAGCCATTCATTTGATTCAGGTGTGTCGAAACAAGGATGCGTCTAAACGCTGCAGGACGGTAGCTCTGAAGGACACCGCTGGTTTAGGTGATCAGCCCCGGTGTGGCCGTGAAACTGAACTCATGAGTTAAGTTTTATTGTTTTATTGTAAAATGCATCTATTTTGATTGTAAGCCCAACAAGGGACAATTGTTGAAAATTAGCAATAGCTATAAACTTGTGTATTACATCAGTTTCCTGTTTTGTACTTGGACTCAGTTAAGCTGCACTGTCCCTTTTAAATAAATAGATTCAAGGAGGGGACGAATACTTGTGGTGTGACTGAAGGATTTTAAAGTGTTGCGTTGCATCTATTAGATGAACTGAAGCATGTACACTGTGTGGAGCAACTGAAGTGTGCAGCTGTTGTACATTAGATAGATTCAGTGAACCAAGTGTGTAGATGTGAGAAGAGTCCCGACCTGAGGAAGGAGCAGGCGAGCAGGACGAGGCCGATGTACGCCAGCGGTCCACTCAGCTTCTGAAACACTTGAAGTTCCGATGAAATCTCCGACATGATGCTCTGAGACATCTGGTGCAGAGACTGGCTGCTGTTGGCATCCAGGTCAAAGTCCAGTGAGGCGGAGATGTTGAACTCAAACTCACGCTTCATCTTCTGAAACACTGCAATGACAGCTGAAAGAGGCAGGAGTCAGCCTCTGTGCGCCCGGCAGTAAAGGCTAAACAATAAAGAGGAAATGGACTCACGAGCCGCGAGACGTTTCCTCAGGTGGTCGGCGATGTAGGAAGGGACGATGCAGAAGAACTCGCCAGCTGAAAGACCAACAGTGAGACGATTACAGAGACGTAAAGATGAACGTGAGAGCAAATACAGAGTTTGGACTCTTTGGTTTTTAAGGCCACGCTGACATTAGAATAAAATCATTGAAATAAGTGAAAAGTGTCCTGGACCGTGAACAGTAGATCTTGTCCGACACTCCTTTTCCACGTTTTATTCTTTAAGTCTCAGAGATTACAGCCTGACCTTCTGTAACTTTGATATTTGTGCCTCTGAGGGTTAACGTCCACACAAGGACCGGGATACATGGACGCACCGCGGGCCAGGTTGCAGAGCGGCAGGAAGCCGTCCACGATGTTGCACAGGAAGTTGAAGTCGCCCAGCAGCTCAGAGCAGTCGCTTCGAGCTTCCTCAAACAGTGACCGGCACTTCCTGTACGGAGTTCCCATCTTTTCGTTACAGATGTCCCCGATATCGGCCAGGAAGCGTAGGACATTCCTCAGCGCGCGAGCTGCAGGGTCAGAGGTCAGAGGTGTAAGGTGAGTATCTGCAGGCGTATGGCAAACATGGTCGGTCTGACACACACTGTCTCCTATAAGGCCTCAGCCCGCCCACAGTGCTACACACCTCAGGCCCAGCCTCCTCCCTTTACCAAACACAGAAACTCAACTTAAAATCTGATGTCAGCGACACCTGTTCTGTTCTGGGCGGGGCCTGCAGCTCTGAGAGTGTGGATCCCCAGGTATGCACATGGAAGGTGTGAAACTGCAGCCAACTGTAAATGACTGTGGGTGAAACCATCAGTCCTCTTTAACACAGGGCTGCACTTCCTGCCTTCACAGCATGGTTCGGGTCAGTTTTCCTTCATCTACACCAAATGAGAAATTCTGAAGAGCCTATTTGAGATAAATACATGCTTTTACAATCTTATGACCCTCTGAGGCGTCTTTGATGTTTGTTAGCTCAGTGAAAGTGTTTTCTAATTGGTTCATTTTGTTATGTCACAGGTGCAAAGCTTGCATTTATATTGCATGTACACTTCATCTGTTTCACAGTCACGGCCACTTTCGAATGACTAACTTGTCTTTGGGACAGAAAGAAACGTACAAACTGTACACAGACATGCCCCGGCTGGGATTTGAACCAGGAACCTTCTGTCTGTGAGGATATAGTGCTGACCACTGTCGCACCATGCACTGGATCTGGTGGCTGCATCTGCAGGAACTGCTGTCCCATATCAGCTGGTTAAAGAGGCTGCCTTACCAACATGGCGGATGCTGTCTGTCATAGCGTAGATGAAGTTCTGGACTCTTCCTGCGACGGCGTACGCGTTTCTGCTGATCTCCCTGATGTGGTCCAACACGGCTGCAAACCAACAAAAACACTGACGCTCACAGCTCGCCACATTCATCTGATTTGTGACTGGATCAGAAAGAATTATATGAATCCATGAAACTGGATAAAAACGGCAGCAACTGATATAAAATTCATATTTTGTTTAAAATTCTATTAAATTTCAATATGAAACACGAGTGGTAAATTTTTAGGAGCACTGGCGGCTGTAACTGCAGTGGGTGTGGGGGCGGGTCTTACAGAAGAGGGGCGTGGCTGCTTTCTGCATCAGTTCCTGCGTTTGATTGGCTGCCAGCTCAGCTCCACACAGCAGGCTGGAGGCGGCTCGCTCGGTGTTCTCCAACGTGTTGCTGAGCGGACCGGACACGAGCAGCGACACGAACATGAGGAGGAGGAAGTTCCTGCCATGACCTGAAACACAGGAAGAGAAGCGCTGTGACGGCGTGGACCTGGCGTCTAATTCAGAAGCTCTGATTGTCCACCTCTAATCGGGAATAGTGACTCTGCTGGGAACTCCATGTTTATTTGGGACCTTGGGATTCAACCTCCACTTCAGAGCTCGTACTGCATCAGGTCCATTTGCGTTTGGGAGGAGGTCCAACTCTGTTTGAAGGTTAGGGAGCACGTAGAGTGTGTGTTGCTTCAAATCTGAGAACTCTATTTGTGCCGTTGTAGAAGTCTGCTCAGAGATTTCATACCTGGAAGCTCATAAGTGGAGAGAGTCACGTTTTTTCTGAATCAACATGGAGGCTCTAACTTGATTTATGAGTCCTAACTCATCCCTTTGAGCTATGACGTCATTTAGAAATGCTTCTCTGTTTTGGAAGCTCATCTTACTCGACCGGTAGTGTAAGCGCCACAATACCAGAAGACGGTTTACTTGACTTCATATCTAGATTTTGCACAAGAACAGCATGATGAATTTGAATTTCTTAAAGTTGTTCCCTTTAACACAGCGAGTGACGTCGTGGACAAAGATGGAGACCTGCGTGTGACGATGTCATTTTGATCATTTCAAAGCAGAAGTTCTCAAACTGAATTGTACAGGAGCTCAGAAGTGTCTTATTTAGAGCTTTAAAGGGCAATAACAGCTCGACCTCTCAGAGTTTTCACCATCTGAATATTGGCGCGCAGTCTCTGAGAGCTCTGTACGGCGTCACCTGTGGTCGTAACTTTATTCTAGAGATGGCACGATACCACTTTTTTATGTCCGATACCGATACCGATATCATAAATTTGGATATCTGCCGATACCGATATGAATCCGATATAGTGTTTTTTAATCAATAAAACTGTTTTTTTAATATCTTGCTGCATTTTGCAAGTCTGCAAGTTCATACTCAAGTTTAAAACAACAACTACACTAAAGCTATTCTGTTATACCTGTATGCAAAAAAAATGTTTCATAGTTCAGCAATACTGATCAATCTAATAAACTTAAACCTACACCATCCTCCCTATTCTGGTATTTTAAAGAGTACTTAGCGTAAATATTAAGCAACCTAACTAATAGGGTTCCAACTCCCAGCAACAACAAAAATAAATAAATAAAAAATAGGGAACCACCCCTCACGCTCCACCTCATGATGCTTAATCGACGTAATCAACCTTAATTTGATGCAGTGTGAAAAAAAAGCACAGAAATCAATTATTTTTCAAGAAATATTAAATAGATTCAACATCTTTCTTCAACAAAATTGCAGACTGCACAGATGGTACCTTCCCAAAGTAAAAAGTACTATAGCTTACTAGGGTATATATATTAGACTTAATAGTTACTATATACAGTAATTGACTTCTATTCATTTTGCATCAAATTAAAACTTTGGGTGTCAGATAATTATTTATTAAAAGTTCGACATTTTAAATGAGAATAAGAAAGAAAAGTATGTCTTTGTGCCCCCTTTTCCCTGTTAATGCCCTATCGGCCCCCCTGGCTAAACTTTGCTAGATGCGCCCCTGCACAGTTACCAGCGTCAGCTACGTAGAAAAAGATCCTGGAGTAGAAAGTAATATTAAATAAATTCTAACAACAGCTTATCAAGCTTAAACGTGCTGCTGTTGTTCAGCCGCTGGTTTCCTCTTTCTGGTGCAAAGTGGGCCAAAAGCAAACAAGAGACACGGACTCGCGACAGAAAAGCCGATCAGCTGATCGTTAAGCAGTTTCATGATTGAAGTAGCAGCAAGAAGAAGCAGTCGCTCCATATATCGCTTGTTAAGCTTAACGCAGGAATGCTTTACAAACATTCAGAGATGGACTTACACACTTGCTGTACTTCTCTCGGGGATAACTTTGTCGGAGATGAAATGCCGGGTTGCTAGCGAAGCTCCACATGCTCTCCAGACCACCGACAGGTCCCGCATGCCACAGCCGCTCTATCACGTGATGCATACTGCTCCGACGTGCTAACGTTCTGAGGTGAGTTACGGCGTGTTGCAAGTTTTGTGAGGTGCTTTCGTGATATTTAATGGATCGGATTACATTTTTTATTTTTCTCCGATATCCGATCCAGTAATTTAGGTCAGTATCGGACCGATACGTAATATCGGATTGGTCCATCTCTACTTTATTCAGGAGCTTTTTGAGAGCTCTGACTTCAGTTAGAAGCTCTGCTGTCTGTTTCAGAGCTCTGGCTGTTATCGGAAGCTCGTCCTCTGTTTGGAGACTAAAAGAAGTTGGGCTGACGGGATCACTACCATCCTCATGTCATCCAAGAAATGTCTGTTTTTAAATTATTTTTATTCTTAATTTACAGAGTTTATAAGTTTCTTTAGTAGTAGTAGCACTAACGATGAGGACTTATTACAACACACAATATTGTCATTTTTGGGATGTTTTTCTCTTCTACAGCATGTCAGATTTATATCGATGAACAAAGAGAGGATCGGTATAAAACCTTGAAGGCGCGTCGCTGACAAACCTGAGCACATGGAGGGCAGCATGACCATGATGCTGGCCCTGACGCTGACCGACAGCCCCATACCGAACGCTGCCAGACCAGCCAAGCACAACGTGGTGTGGGCGCAGAACCACAGCGGCTGTTTCTGCAGGAAGAGAGTCATGAGTCCGTACAGAGACGCGATCAGCAGCCCGGATACAAACGCCACCATCCTCTGCCCCACCTCCACCAGGTGAGCTCTGAGCTTCCTCCTGCCGCTGAGTCGAGAGCGTCCCGCCGGTCTGTGGAAGCAAAAACAGTGAACGACATGTTCACTAACCTGCAGCACCACATAGACATGAAGCTACAGTGCTGCCACCTGCAGGCCGTGACGTACAGGCGGATTCACAGTGGCTGGGATATTTATCAAAGATCCGTCTTTGTAGGACAAATTAAATAAAAAACTAATAAAAGTTTAAAACATCAGCCCTGTCTTATTGTATTTAACAAACATGTCTCAGGACTACCTCACCTTCTACCTGCCTTTTCCCCGAGACTCGTCATTTCAAACACAAAAGGCTGAAAAGCCTGATTGTTGTTCCTGTTTGCATCGCGCTGGTGGACAAACAGAGACGACTACAACGGAGTAACAGACTTTAAAACTATCTGTGAGTTCTGAGTAAGAATAAACAGCTACGTGTCTCTGTTACACCGTTTTAATGTTGGATTAATGGAATAGAAACGATGAGTTTCAATGTCAGCTGTGAGTGCGCGCTGTGCAGTAAAGGTCTGCACAGACACGGTGACGTCGGCGAGGTCTGATGCTGGGTGTGAAACCAGAGATGATAAGCCCGTGTGCTGCCCCGAAGCACACGTCTGTTTGTCCTCGCCTTTCACCCTGATGCAGGTCGTAACTTACAAAATACCATCCTGTTGTGTAAACTCATCAGAGTCCACTGACGTCAAGCCAAGTGAGAACTCTGGGGTTGTTTCCCCAAATAAAGCCGGAGGAGCCCCGCCCCCACGGATGAATGTTGGGTTCACTTTCAGATGCTTCCATCCTTTATATACAGGAAAATAATTTGCAGGAAGTGAATAGGAGGGAAGTTAAAATGTTCTGTGATGAGGCTGTGGAGCAATAAATGTGAGCACAAATCATTTTTTAAAAAGGTGAAAGGTTAACATCCAGGTCACTCTAAATGAGAATGTGTTAGCTCAAAAGCTAACAGTTAGCACTCAGGTGAATCTGGTCCCTCTACCTGCTCAGAGCTCCTCGGATAGTCTCTGTGACTCCGCCCCTCTTCACCTGGACTGAGATGTCACTTTTCATCAGGAGCTGTTTCCTTTCTTCACTCCTCATCTTCATCTTTTACACCAGGGGAAACGTTTCCGCGTCACCTGGAAACCAGAGACACATCACGTGACAGGCCGAAGCTAACAGAAGCTCCAACAGTCAAACGACGATACGTTTGTAAGCGGTGTGCGCTTGAACGCAGGTTAGAGGAGCGATTTGTGGTGAATGATGGCTGACACCGGGACACGTCACAGCTGTGAGTTCACCCACAACAACTCAAAACTCAGGTGGTGGAGCTGATCAGCCCTGAGGCTGCCAGCCGACGGTCAAAACCTGTTTCCAGGTGTTTGTGCTTCCTTACAGCGGCGCACAGGTGCGTTCAGACCATCCTGCCTCCAGTTGTCCATCGGTTCCTCTTCAGCCAATCAGAGGAGTTTCCGGTGGCTCGCCCGCTCTTCAGGGCGCTGTTTGGAGTAGCGACCGGCACAGGTAACACCTCCAGCGACACACCTGGGCGGTTCATCTCTGAGCTTCAATCCGCACATGTTGGAAACCAGCGCGGGTATCGGAGGGAAAAGACGCCGCAGAGCTGCGCTCATTTTGGGGCCGATCAGCTGTTCGGAGGAAACAGGAGCGCGCACAGAATCAGCCTCTCATTAAATAATTTCATTCACTGTAATATACTAGCTGATGTTATTATGACTTAGTCACATTGTTGTTGTCTTTATTTTTAATATTGTGTAATTTTATCATTTGTTACTATAAATATAACGAATGCAAAGCTCTTCTTTTACTTTCCAGCTGTTTTTATTATTATTCTGAAAGGTTGTTAGAAAAAAGCCGATGTGATGTTTGACTCCTGTTGTTGTTCGTCTCACCAACAGTCTTGTTCCTGGGCATTGCCCACAACCTCCCGCTGACCTTTGACCTGAAGGTGGCAGTAGGATGTTTGTTTGTTGGTGAGGCGAGGTCGCACACTCACATCTGTTCTTTGAAACACGTTTGAAACACGTGGAGATCTGACCGAGTGTGTGTTTCAGCTGTGTGTCTCGCAGGCGGACTCCTGTCTTCGTCCTTCAGGTGTTCGGTCCTCCTCGTGTTTCCCAGCATGCTCGGCTCCCGTGGCCGCTCCTACCTGATCCTGCTGGCCCTGTCTGTGCTGTACGCAGGTAAACAGACGCCTGTGCAGAGTGTGCACACGGCTCACGGTGTGGTCAGTGCCGTCATCTTTTTCATGGAGTCGTATCAGAAACATTCTCGTGTCCAGTGAGTCCAAAGTTTCATGAATCTGCAGGAATCGGCACATATTTGGCTTTTTAACTGAAAAAACAAAAATAATGAGCTCAGAAGGAGATGGAGGGAGGATCCACTCCTCTCGTCTGTACCTGTGAAAGCACAGATGTCCAAACTGTCTTCATTCTGCTCCCCTCGCTCGTGTGTTTGGTGAGAATCCCTGAAACCAAATCATTGATGCGTCATTTAGAAAAAAACATAAAACCCACAAATAACTTTTCTACAAGCTCCACTGTTTCATGTCAGCAAAATATTGATCAGCAGGACAGATTTAATAACACTTTATCAGCAAACATTAAACACTGTTAAAAACAAAGTGCAGCAATCAAACCAGCAGAGGTCAGTGCTGTCTGAAGTCACACAGACCTGCTCCCGTGTGACTTTGGGATAGGCTGATATACTGATCAGTGTTAAAGAGTTCAGACAACACCAACGGCAACAATCAATGTGTGTGTCGTCCCGAGGGCTCAGGCTGAGGCCGGCTGCACTTCCTTTTGGTTCGTGAAGACGTTTCACTTCAGGCATCTTCAGTTTTAAAAATGTTGTTGAGAGGTGAAATGTTTCATCCTCATGAACCAAAAACCTTCATTTCGACCACTTAGGATGAATGAATACTAAATACATATGAATGAATTAACAGCTACAATGTCAAAGACTACAAAGACCTCTCATGTGATGGAGTGACATAAAAGCGAGTGTTGGAACGTGTTTAAAGCAGCGGTCACCAACCCCCGGGCCTCGGACCGCTACCGGTCCGTGAGTCGTTTGGTACCGGCCGCGAGAGTTGAGGCTCAGGTGTGAAATGTCTGGTTTTCAGGGTTTTTATCGGTTTTCAGCGTTATTTTGTTATCGTTTTTATCGTTAACTCTGTTTTCCTGGGTCTTTTCACGTCTGTTATGAATAAATCTTCTTTTTTTCGGTACCGGTTTTATTTTGTTGTATTTATCCGCGACACCTTAAAGGCCGGTCTGTGAAAATATCACGGGCATAAACCGGTCCGTGGCGCAACAAAGGTTGGAGACCGCTGGTTTAAAGGACGTCACTGATCCTGTGAGCCTGCACAGTAACATTTATGAGTCTGAGTCGTCCAACATTAAAGTGCACTGAGACAGTCAGACATACTGGGTCCACAGGCCTCACTGGACCCAGTCTGTCTGTGGCTGATTAAATCTTTTACTAAATACATAATACAACATGCAGATACGATTGCTTACCTCAGCGGCTGAATGGGCCTGATTAACATGTCTTCAGGTGAGTTTTGTGTCATGTGATGCTGCGTCCCGTCTGCAGGCCCAGTTTCAAACATCCAGCGTAACGTGGAGGCCGCCGCCGTGTCTGTGAGCTGCAACCTGGACCTGCAGGTCCGTCACAGCAAACTACTGTGGAGAGAAGCCATCAAGCCATTTTTGATCATCACACAGGAGCTCATGGTGAGAGGAACATGTTTCAAAGCTCCTCTAGTTTAACATAATAATAATTATCACCCTACCTACTGCCATGAACATGAAGCTGAGGGGCCTCAGATCTTTTGCTTCTCTTCCAGGATAATAAAGAAGGTTTTGAGTTGGAGGCTTTAAATGTCAGCAAGAAGTTTCAGGACATCAGAGACGAGATGGTCCTTCAGTACGGATACGACCGATTCGAAACTAAACAAGGCGGCGGTAACAGCACCCAGGAAGAGTTCACCGCCAAGACCCTAAAGCAGTGCGACAGTAAGTCAGAAACACCAGAAACACCAGACGTGAAGTTCAAAGGTTTCAGGCAGGAAACACAATACAGAAGGAAACTGTTGATCATCATCCTCGTGTCACCAATACGAGAAAACAATCGCTTTAAATGTCGTCACTAATGTGATTCAAAATGATTTCACACCTGCTTCACAAACGTCATTTAAAGATGAGAACTCGCGCGTGGTTTGATCCCCAGGTGTGGTGGCTCAGGGCGTGCAGCGGTGCGTCGATTGGTTCGCCAACAGGTGGACGGCGTGTTTGGAGGCGATCCCCGTCCCCGTCATCAACTACATCCTCTGCATTTCAATGAAGTTTCACTTCCTGTGTGACATCATGAAAGGTAAAAGGTTATACGTACCACGGCGTTATGAAATATCCACATCCAGCTGACCCCGCGGTCTCTACTCTTTCCAGTCAGACATTATGGTGGTCAGGGGGTGGCGCAGTGTCGGCAGCTGCTCTGTCAGTGCCCCAGGTGCTGTGGCTACATTGTACTTGCATCACCAGTGTGTGTGTGTGTGAATGGTGGATGACAGTTGTAAGCGTTTGGTCTAGACTAGAAGCGCTATACAATACAGCATTAACATTTCTAACTCACAAACATCAGCATCAGAATACATTTAAACTGTCACCAGAAAGTCTTTGCTTTAAAAAATAAAACTGAAATTGGGCTCCGGCGCTTTGGTGTAATACCACTTTGAGCCACAAGGTGACACTGAGTTTAGCATCCAATCACAACATAGCATGACAACACTATTATTGTTAGCTCGGTGCTAGTTTGACATTTGTACAGAATTCACATTAAAGTAATATTTAGCGACTTGTTCTGGGAGCTCGGAGAGTAAAAACGAGCAGTTATATTTTTAAATAGTAAAAAAACGACTACACTAAACCTTTCTGGTAAACGCTGCCATCTTGTGGTGGAAGTTTTTATTAAATTTAGCTCAAGGTTTTGCAAAAAGCACCTTTAAATTTGAAGGTGTGCAAACATTAGCTTCAGTGTTCTGAGCGGTATATCGTACTCAAGTGTCCTCAAACGTAAACGGCAGATTATTTTTGAGTTATTATTTCAGGGTTGATAGTCTTGGTGTTTTGGTGACTCTTCTGTGGTGCTGAAAAGGCAGCTGCTGTGATCTTTAGTTCTTCTCCTCCTCCCATCAGTCATGACTCCGTGGTGCAGGGACAACATTCCCGTGGAGGGAAACTTTGGTCAACTCTTCGACCGGCTGAATGTTTCGGTTGACCTGCTGTCCAGAGAGTTCAGCGCCGAGCTCACCGTAGAGGTCAGACCTGCACCGCCGGTCCTCCAGCACCACCCACAGGACGAACCCAGAGTCGGCTGAAATGTAACCTGCGTGTCGTCTCGCAGGAGGAGGAGCAGCCGGCGCTGAGCGAAGCTCTGCTGGACCAACAGTTCACCAACGCTGTCAAAACATCCTTCCAGAAACTGACATCAACGACGGGACGGGTGCTGAACATCCTGCAGATGCTCCTCTCCTTAACCTTCATCACCTTCTTCACCCAGTAAGAGTCTCACCTTCACCTTCATCCCGTTAAGATTCACACCTTTATCTCCATCTTCTTTTCTCCTCTGCAGGGCGTTTGGGTACCTCTGGCAGTACAACAGGGACATTTGTTTCGACAACGTCTACATCACCACCTACTTCAGACAGATCGATGCCCGCAGACGGAAAGCGGTATCATTCTCATCCTCATCATCCTCACTTCAGTACAGTCCACGGTCTGACCGTCCTGTCCTCTCCTGTGCTGCGTTTAGGGGAAGCGCTGCCTGCTGCCTCTGAGGAAATCTGAGAAAAACAAGCTGATCAACCCCTGCAGTCTGAAAATTTACCCCGAAGAGGTCAAACAAGTGGTGCGTTCAAGAGCAGTAACTCTGGCAGTATTTATGTAGTGTTTCACAAAGTGCTTCACAGGAAATAATCCACTGTAATAGCAGCAGTGACGCGACTCCTCAGTTCTTTGCACTCACCTAAAAATCTGCAGATTTGTTAAAGGATCATTACCCTAAATACCACTTTTCCATCTTTTTAAGTTTAAGTTATTTTTATAAATAACGTGTTTAGACGTGGTCCAATCAGAGTGCAGCACTCTCACAAACAGGTATGCAGCAATAGCAGATTTCTGTGCCGTTATAAATTCAAGGTGCAATTTCAGGACACAGTCTGTGTTCAGCCAAATACACCCAGAAAAGGTGTAATACACATTTTACTGTTTTTATAGCTGATTATCACAGTTTAGTTTAATAAAGATAAAAAAGTATTTGAGGTTGTGACTTTGAACCTTGTCCCCGTGCCGGGCAGGTTTTTCATTTACAGTGGGATGCAAAAGTTTGGGCGGCCTTGTTCATAGTCATTATTTTCCTGTATAAATCGTTAAATATAAGCGTCAGTTAAATGTATCATATAGG